GAAGGATGGGGGGTGTGGAGACCGCAAGCAGCCCCCGCTGACCTGAATCCCCCATGTGCGCAGTCAGTGAGTACACATGGCGCTACATCCCCTATGGGGCCTGGGTGTACCAAGTGCACTGCACACATTGATGATATGCCACTGCTTAGATGTAATCTAGGATATCTAGTTAATGCAAAAGCATCCAAACAGTAAGAATAACAGGGTCTTGCAGCTCCAAAGCAGACAAGGAACCTGGAATGAAAGAAAATAACATACATGGGGCACAAAATAACCTTGTGAATGAAAAGGACACACTGGGCTTGAATCAAAAAAGGTAAAGTATTGCACTCAAAAGGACCAGGACACATAAGATTCTGGGTAAAAACAATGACACAAAGGGGCACAATATAGAACATTAAACATATACCACTTTAATATAAAAGGGTTAAAACCCTCACAGACAATAAGCATGTAATAGCAGTCCAAACTTCCTTCACGTGACCAATGTTCAGAGACTCTGCATCAAACAATCCCACTTAGATTGTAAGCTCCCAGAATCAGGCCCTCCTAACCCTCTTGTATTGAACTGTATTGTTGCTGTATTGTCTCTCTTTATATTGTAAAGTGCTGAGCAAACTGTTGGCGCTATACAAATCCTGTATAATAATAATAATATTGTTAATAAAAAACAAGGCAGGATTACCCACTCAAAACTGACAAATGGGCAGCGTCCACCTTGCTTGTCATGCAGCTAAAGCAAGGCATACATGGGTCAAATTCCGAACAATTTTTCGATCGAAAATGTAGTTTGCTCTGTAATCCTATGGTGCCACCAATGCTTTCGAAAATCGGTAGTTTTTCACAAATTTTCCAACATGCCCGATAAATGAAAAGGGGAGGAACCACCAAAATTCGGTGTCATTGCCCCACTAACAGAGCGAAACTTGGTTGATTTTTCTTTCAAATGAAAAATCGTTCGAAAATCGACCCATGTTTGGCCGGCCTAAGTCAAGGGTATTACAACAATTTAAAGGGTCAGCTCACACAAAACTATTTACATTTCAGTAAATCCTCAAACCTCAAAAAAAAAAAAAACTCAAAAAAAAAACTCTTGGGGAAATCTTTTGCTTGAGTGTCTGTGTTTGCACACCTGCCAGCTTTGTTCAATTTTATTTATTTTATATAATGGAGAACGCAACAGGAGGTACTGAAACTGGCAAAAACGGACAGAAACAGAATCAGTGTTTATGGCTCGGAGATCCTGCTGTTGGGGTATCCAAAATATACAGCATAAGCCAGGGGTTGGCAGCCCTCCAGGCTACACACACTATATTTAAACAATGTATCACTTTTCAGAGTTCTGACCTTTTTATATTTCTTTGCAGCTGAAAGATTAACAGCTGGCTAAGTATCACATATATCAGGAATCACTAAATGGTGGATCATGGTCCAGATCTGGACCGAGTCAATGTCCTGCCTGGAGTGCTGTGGTCCTGCCATTTAGGAGCTGTTCTGCCCAGAGCTGTCACCACCGCCACTGTCATCCTCATAGAGCCAACAGTGGGAGGTGGGACAGCTGTGGCTGGTGTGCGGGGGCTGCCCGAGTTAACAAGCAAGCGATTGGTTGCTAGTATGCAGGGCAGTCCAAACCTGCTGCTCTCCTCACTGTCTGTGTAAGGTAGGACAGAAAGGGGGACGATGTGAAGGGGGGCTGAGTACATTAATGGGTTCGCTGAGGGCAGTTAAGGGGGGGCTCAGGACAGTAATAGGGGGACAAAAGACAGTATTGTGGGGGCTGAGGACAGTAATGGAACCCTGAGGATATTAATAGGGTTGCTGAGGACAGTAATGGGGGGCCTGAAGGCAGTAATGGGGGCTAAGGACAGTAATGTGAAGGGGAGATTTTGATGTGAAGAAGAGTGACTGATGTGAAGGAGGACTGAGGATGCTGATGCAAGAACAGGATTGTGATGAGGCTCGATTCAAATCTGAGAATTTGCATTTTTTTTAATTATAATTTTTTTAATTAAAGTGCAGCGCATGTCTCTGCGGACTGGGAACGCATGCGATTTCACACATGTTCCCCAGCCACAGAGATGTGAACCTAGCTTAAGAAGAGAGGGGGGTTGTGATGCGAAGAATCTGAGTGATAGCACAAAAATAGGATTTGGACCTCTGCTGGAAGAATAATTTACTGACTGGACCGAGAATTTTAATTCAATACCCCTGACCTATATTTCCATACACAATTTATGTTACATACAGTTGTGTTCAAAATAATAGCAGTGTGTTGAAAAAAGTGAATAAAGCTCAAAATCCTTCTAATAATTTTTATTTTCCATACACACAAATGCATTGGGAACACTACACATTCTATTCCAAATCAAAACATGAAGAAAATAATATCAAATTTGTGTTGTCCCTCTAAAAAAACTGAAGAAAAGTGAATATTAGACTGTTCAAAAAAATAGCAGTGTTTGTATTCTTCTTTACAGACTCAAACATTCACTATATAAATTGAAAAATGTTTGAAGATTTTGCTTTCCTTTGAATCACTTAATGAATATTTAGTTGTATAAGCACTGTTTCTGAGAACTGCTGTACATCTGTGTTGCATGGAGTCAACAACTTCTGGCACCTGTGAACAGGTATTCCAGCCCAGGATGATTGGACTACATTCCACAGTTCTTCTCTATTTCTTGGTTTTGCCTCAGAAACTGCATTTTTGATGTCACCCCACAGTTTTCTATTGGATTAAGATCCGGGGATTGGGCTGGCCACTCCAGAACGTCAATCTTGTTGGTCTGGAACTAAGATGTTGCACGTTTACTGGTGTGTTTGGGGTCGTTGTCTTGTTGGAACACCCATTTCAAGGGCATTTCCTCTTCAGCATAAGGCAGCATGACCTCTTCAAGTATTCTGATGTATTCAAACTGATCCATGATCCCCGGTATGCGATAAATAGGCCCAACACCGTAGTATGAGAGACATCCCCATATCATGATGCTTTCGCAACCATGCTTCACTGTCTTCACAGTGTACTGTGGCTTGAATTCAGTGTTTGGGGGTCGTCTGACAAACTGTCTCCGGCCACTAAAATGTTGCGCCATTTCTCTTTAGGCCAGAGTCAATGTGCTCTTTGGCAAATTGTAACCTCTTCAGCACATGTCTTTTTTTCAACAGTGGGACTTTGCGGGGGCTTCTTGCAGATAGCTTGGCTTCACATAGGCGTCTTCTAATTGTAACGGTACTCACAGGGAACTTTAGACCTTCTTTGATCTTCCTGGAGCTGATTGTTGGCTGAGTCCTTGCCATTTTGGCGATTTGTCTATGCATTTGAATGGTAGTTTTTCGCTTTCTTCCACGTCTTTCAGGTTTTGGTTGCCATTTTAAAGGATTTGCAATCATTTTAGCTGAGCAGCCTATCATTTTCTGCACTCCTTTATATGTTTTCCCCTCTCCAATCAACTTTTTAATCAAGGTATGCCGTTCTTCTGAACAATGTCTGGAACGACTCATTTTCCTCAGAATTTCAGAGATAAATGCACTGTAACCAGCATGTACAACATTTGCTGCCTTCCTTCCTTAAATAAGGGCAATAATTGCCACCTGTTTTTCAAAGAATGAATGACCTCACTAATAGAACTCCACAATGCTATTATTTTGAACATGCCCCTTTCAATTAGTGATTCAATGACACAGAATCAGCAGCATGCATGTCATGACTGTTGGGTCTGTTGGATTTCTATTACTCTACTACACCTGCTAGTAAATTATTTGCCATGTAGAAATATAATTTCTACCAAAAACAGTGATTGATCAGGTTAGTGATGTCTGACTGCTATTATTTTGAACACAACTGTATGCATGGAGGATAAACAGATGGGTAACTAGAACTGGTAGTTATTTAGGATCATGCAAAGACAAATTAGTAAACCCTAAGATAACACCTTCATTTTCCTATCCTCCACAAGTGACACTAAACTCACATTTTTTTTTCTATTACATCAATTGTTCTAAAATCACGTATCAAACAAAAGGCCCACGGGCCTGATGCAGCCCACCGGGCCATTTCATTTGGCCCCTGTACTTCTTGCTGCTACTGCACCCCACTCGTCTCCACCTTGTCTTAATAATTGGCGGCAGTGAGGACAATTCTTCCTACAGATTCTGACCTTTTTTGTGCAACCACAGCACCCCCTCGTCTCTGCTTAATGCAATAAACTGGGCTTGGTAATATTTGTCTGATGATTAACCACTTGCACTTTGTTCTCCACACCTGCGACTCATATTCAGCCAACAGCAGGCTAAAGTCTTCTATTGGCTGATGTCACTCAGCCGATACAGACTCTGGAGGGATCCCGCCTTTAATGTCAGGATTTACCCAGATGCCTGACCCGCAGCTTGCCCAGCCTCGGACTGATGCTTCATCCACCTAGGTGAGTTTGTTTTTTTAAAAGGTCGCACTTCTCTTTTAAGTTATTACTATAACTACAGTAATAACCAATTGCAGAGGCAATTATTTAATAAGATATAGAGCAGATACATTTATATGGTCTTACAGATTCAACCGGCCCTTTGCGGGCAACTATAATGCTGATGCGGCCCTCAAAGAAATTGGGTTTGACCACCCTGTTCTAAAATATCAAGTATACAACAACTCACTCTTTTTTAAGTTTCTTACGGTTGTTTTCAGGCTACTTTTTTTTTATCCTGTGTGCAATTCTAATCCTCCACCAATGCACCTCACCACTGCAAGTGTACAGAGAGTAGTGCCGTTATCTCTGGCCACATGCTTCACTCTTTGCATACTGCAATTCCTATAGCACTCAATGCATTTGCACAGATGTAGGAGCAGGAAATGGTGGCTACATTCACATACACAAGGGGGCCTAGAGCAGCCTTTCTCAGCCAGGGACCCTGGTGTGCCTTCAGGCCTTTTCAGGGGTGCCTTGGCAAAATTCTTAAAAACCGGCCAAAAATTGTATACAAGCCAGCAGGTGGATCAAGCCTGCCTTTTAGTTACACAAAGCTAGGGGCGGACTGACAATTTGGAAACTCGGGCACTGCCCGAGGGCCCGGGGTCAGTAGAGGGCCCCATGAGATGCCCCTGGTACCTTTTTCATAGGCTTTTTTGAGTTTGGGCAAGGACACAGGGGCCCCATGATCCCCTATTGCCCAGGGGCCCCATGAGTTGTCAGTCCACCCCTGCACAAAGCCATAGGTTTTCATTGTGCACTTTTACGACCTGTCAGCTGCCAGCATCCTAACAAAAAATTACATAATTAGTTGATAAAGAGGACATCGGGCGCCTGCACAGCATCCTTGTTTGCCCCTCTCCTTCAACAGTGGGATCACATTAGTAGAGTGAGGGAGAGAAACTGAGGGAGAAACATTGGAATACTAGTCAGTACCAGATTAGAAAGAAATATTTGCTTTGGAAGAATAAATCACCTCTAACGTTGGGTGTCCTACATGTGTGGATGTTGCTGCATTATGTAAAACTATTAGAATAGTTTTTTACATTTTAGAATGGGGTGCCTTGAGATTGTCCATAATTTTAAAGGGCGCCTTGATTGAAAAAAGGTTGAGAAACACTGGCCTAGAGAACCAATGAAGTCATTCTAGAACAGGAAATCTGAGAGTAGTGGACAACAGCTTGCTTTTGAGAGATGAAACAAAAGATGAGAGAGATAGAAGGAACCTTCTATTTATATTTAAAAAAAGATTTATTTTAATTAAAAAATGAGTTTGCAGTCACTTTAAAACCCGACTGCAGTCAAAGACATGGAAGATCTACCATTAAATATTGTTGTTTTATTAACTCCCTAGAAGACCAAGTGCATACAGCATTTGGAACCATTCAGATCCATCCCTTAGCTTTCAAGCAGGGTGGTCAGACAGGGTTCCCCCCTCTGTCCGACATCGCTACTAAAAAGGTGACAGATTTGTGATTGGCAGCTCTGGTGTTTGGCAGCAACAGCTGCTCTGGAGATCAGCACTGCCATGCATAAAAATAAGATTCTACCCTGTGGAGTTGTGTTTCTATCAGTGGTTGTACACATTGTACACATACACAGCCCAGTCGATGGATGAGTGATCTTTCAGCTTTATGAATGGGCGATCATAGATTTCATGCTGTGGTATGCACTGCGCCGGCCCAACATCGCTGATCATTAATTCATAAAAGTGAAAATTTGCAGAACTCTGCAGCATTATGTGATTTGTCACTGTTATGAAGGAATGTTTAGTGGTGCTTGTTCATTCATAATAGAGAAAGATCACTCAAAACTGTGGCTCTGCACAATGTATCCAAGGCTGCTTGTACACATACAGGGCATCGGTAGATATATTACACAGAGGCACAGCTCTGAGTGATCCTTTACCATTATGAATGGACGAGTAGCACTTTAGTGACAGATCACTCAGTTATGGGGGGCTCTTTGCTGCCTCTACCTGCCCCCATAATTTTGGCTTCAAAAAGGATGGAGATACAGCTAGCATTAAGAGGTGTGTTTAGGGGCAACATGGCCTTCAGTCAGAACAGGACCAAGTGCTATACAGTGAGGGAAATAAGTATTTGATCCCCTGCTGATTTTAAATGTTTGCCCACTCACAAAGAAATGATCAGTCTAAAAATCAAATGGTAGGTGTTTTTTAACACTGAGAGACAGAATAGCAACAAAAAATGCAAAAGAAATGCATGTCTAACAAATTATGCACTGATTTGCATGTTCATGAGGGAAATAAGTATTTGATCCCCTTCACAAAACATGACTAAGTACTTGGTGGCAAATTTTTTGTTGGCAATCACAGACATTTCCTGTAGTTGGCCACCAGGTTTGCACACATCTCAGGATGGATTTTGGCCCACTCCTCTTGGCAGATCCTCTCCAATCATTAAGGTTCGGTGGCTGACGTTTGGCAATTCGAACTTTCAACTCCCTCCACAGATTTTCAGTCGGATTAAGGTCTGGAGACTGGCTAGGCCACTCCAGGACCTTAATGTGCTTCTTCTTGAGCCACTCCTTTGTTGCCTTGGCCGTGTGTTTTGGGTCATTGTCATGCTGGAACACCCATCCACAACCCATTTTCAATGCCCTGGCTGAGGAAAGAAGGTTCTCACTCACGATTTGATGGTACATTGCCCCGTCCATCGTCCCCTTGATGCGGTGCAGAAAAACACCCCCAAAGCAGATTGTTTCCACCACCATGTTTGACAGTTGAGATGGTGTTCTTGGGGTCATAGGCAGCATTCCTCCTCCTCCAAACACGGCGAGTTGAGTTGATGCCAAAGAGCTCGATGTTGGTCTCATCTGACCACAACACTTTCAACCAGTCCTCCTCTGCATCATTCAGATGTTCAGTGGCAAACTTCAGATGGGCCTGGACATGTGCTTTCTTGAGCAGAGGGACCTTGCGGGCACTGTAGGATTACAATCTTTGTCGGCGTAGTGTGTTACCAATTGTTTTCTTGGTGACTGTGGTCCCAGCTGCCTGGAGATCATTGACAAGATCCTCACGTGTAGTTCTGGGATGATTCCTCACTGTTCTCATGATCATTGACACTCCACGAGGTGAGATCTTGCATGGTGCACCAGAGCTAGGTAGACTGACAGTTGTTTTGTGTGTCTTCCATTTGCGAGTGATTGCACCAACTGTTGTCACCTTCTCACCAAGCTGCTTGGCGATAGTTTGGTAGTCCAGTCCAGCCTTGTGTAGGTCTACAATCTTGTCCCTGACATCCTTGGACAGCTCTTTGGTCTTTGCCATGGTGGAGGGTTTGGAATCTGATTGATTGCTCCTGTGGACAGGTGTCTTTTATACAGGTAACAAAATAAGATTAGCAGCACTCCCTTTAAGAGACTGCTTCTAATCTCAGCTTGCTACCTGTATGAAGACACCTGGTAGCCAGAAATCCTGCTGAATGATATGGAATCAAATACTTATTTCCCTCATGAACATGCAAATCAGTGCATCATTTGTTAGACATGCATTTCTTTTGAATTATTTTTGTTGCTATTCTGTCTCTGTGTTAAAATACACCTACCATTCGATTTTTAGACTGATCCTTTCTTTGTGAGTGGGCAAACATTCAAAAATCAGCAGGGGATCAAATACTTATTTCCTTCACTGTGTGTACTTGGTCCCCTAGAAAGCTAAAATAAATAAATAAATAGCGATAGTTCTCCTTTATTAGCTAAACATTCTACTAGCAACTTCTTGGTCTTCCCTCTTTTCCTGTATCTAAATATGACTAGGCAGTCCAGTAGACACAGTGTTTTAAGCTACATTCGCATGGAAGTTTAGCCTTGGATAGTTTTCTGCATTCCAATGCAGGAACACTCTGTGCAAGCTGACCGGTAAACTGTGGACAGTTTGTATGCAGCCGAAACTCCACAGAAACGTCAACACTGTCTGCATCAGGGGTTGGTATTCAAATGTAACCTCTTGGATGAGCTGTCACGTTCAAACAGCAGCGTCACCATCCACTGATTTGTGGCAGCCACTACCGACAGCTGCTGCTTGCACACAGTGTGTGCATTAATATTTACAACTGCCAGCAAGAATGTACTATTTCTTGCCAGTGGCTGCCCTTGGCTGCACATGAACTGCCTCATGAATGTAGCCTTACCTAGTGCACCTACTAATCAGAGCTCAGCAATAGAACTGATCAGATAAACTCCCTACTCCTCTGCAAAACAAGTCAGCATGAGCAAGCTTGTGATCAAGGATGTAGCTGTAACTCATATACAGGGGCGGACTGACAACTCATGGGGCCCCCTGCTCATATATACAGCAAGAAGTGCATTTCCATCTGAAATAAGGTAGTTTAAGGTATTATAACAAAATTTGTGGGTGTACCATACTATGAAGCAAGACAAATAAGAGAAATACCCCTGGGTGGTCTTAAAATCTCTCAACAGCAAATAAATGTATCCATCTGTGTAGCTATAGCTTTAGGAAGCAACTCAAACCCATTAAGAAGACAACTACTCTCCAAAGCATTGGTCTGCTGGTCCTTCTCCATGTGTCAGAAAGTCTAAGAGGGTGTCTGTGCAGAAGTCATTAAAAGTGACCTTCCAACCACGGGGTCACTTGTACAGAAGGACCTCCCTGTGAAAGAAGAGAGAATATAATTATCTTTCTGGTGGCTTGTCTGTTGAAACATTTCCACTTTGCAAGCCTCTGCAAGTATTCAATGCTTCGGGTGCATAAAGTACCTGCTCCACTGCGGCACACAGTGGCTCCTCCTGAGGGCTCATACATCCTGTTGGGGCATAAAAACTGTAATGGAGAACAAAAACAAAAGCACACCAACCTTGCGCATTACTTCAGTAACAGGGGCGGACTGAAACCTCATGGGGCCCCCGGGCAATAGGGGATCATGGGGCCCCTGTGTCCTTGCCCACACTCAAAAAAGCCTATAAAAAAGGTACCAGGGGCATTTTATGGGGCCCCCTACTGACCCGGGGCCCTCGGGTAGTGCCCAAGTGACTGAATGGTCAGTCCGCCCCTGCTCAGTAAGTATAGGGTGAATTTATTAAATTGAGATATATATACACTCACAAAAGTAGCATTGGTAAAAGCATATAAAATCCAACATCAGCATACTGGAATAGCAGACAGGTGCGGATCCCATCGAGAGGGAAGACTCTCAGAATGAAGCTGATGCGTTTTGAAAGGGGGAATCCCTTCTTCATCAGAGCTAGTCAAACCGAGAATACTCTCCTCTATAAATAGCACCAGGCCATGTGTGGGCTTACCCATATGGGTGGGACACAGGGGCGGACTGACAACTCATGGGGCCCCCGGGCAATAGGGGATCATGGGGCCCCTGTGTCCTTGCCCAAACTCAAAAAAGCCTATGAAAAAGGTACCAGGGGCATCTCATGGGGCCCCCTACTGACCCCGGGCCCTCGGGCAGTGCCCGAGTTTCCAAATGGTCAGTCCGCCCCTGGTGGGACATTCACATCATGGGAGGTGGGGCAACAGTGTCACAAATCCAAATAAACATAAAAGCATACTCAAGATAAAACAATGGTGTTCTTTTATGAAACAGAGATCAGCAGCGATCCTAAGGATCATTGCTGATCACCGATCATTAGTGGTTTAGGAAACAGAGATGATCAGCGGAGAACATGTTCTCCTCTGTTCATCTCAGCACACAGATGGCCAGTGTATGAAGGAGCGATGTCCAGGGGCGGACTGACAACTCATGGGGCCCCCAGGCAATAGGGGATCATGGGGCCCCTGTGTCCTTGCCCAAACTCAAAAAAGCCTATGAAAAAGGTACCAGGGGCATCTCATGGGGCCCCCTTCTGCCCCCGGGCCCTCGGGCAGTGCCCGAGTTTCTAAATGGTCAGTCTGCCCCTGGCAATGTCAGCCCTTCACTGGCGATCTGTGTTCTCCCTCCAGATTCTCCGGCCCAGAGCTGGAGAATCGGAGGAACCGCAAACGAAACAGCGATAATTTACCGCTGCTTAGTAAACGGTGTTTGACTGATCTATAATAATAATCTCTTACTGTAATCTCATAAGACTGCAGTAAAAGCAGACATTTTCTAGCGTTCAAACGTTTGTAGATCGCTTCTTTCCTCATTCAAAGAAGCGATCTACACCACTTCATCATAAAAAGGCATTCAGAGGAGAACTGTGCAGCGGTCATTTACCACTGCATGATAGAAAGACACCAATGTGTACACGCTCTATGAAAAAAAAAAAACATATATATATATATATATATATAAAAAATATACAAGTTGTCCAAACACACACGCACACATAAAAATCTACGATCGCTCACTTAAATAATAATTAATTGGAAATCGTAATATACAGAGATTTAACTTTACCTTTCACATTGTGATTAGATCTAAAACTCCTTTTATGCAGAGTGATCTAAAAAGGGGGGTCCGAAAAACTGTCTGGAGATATCACTGCATTCAGAGGAGGAGCAGGTATTCCACACACCTGGAAGTTTGAATTGCATGCAGCGGCCAAGGGAGACACATGCGTTTGGCTCGTTGTTGTGGCACAGCCCTAGTGAACCCAAATATTTCTCCATGCTAAGTCCCTCAATTGACTGTGTAAAACTAATATCTACATTCTGTTGCAGCTAAAACGCATTTATGTGCTCCCACATCCATCTAATCTATATACGGTATGCAAAAAAGTGCAGAACAACTATTATTACCACTATATTATAAAGTATTGTGTATTGCCCATTGCGATCATTCTTTAGTGGCATATCCAGGGGCGGACTGACAACTCATGGGGCCCCCGGGCAATAGGGGATCATGGGGCCCTGTGTCCTTGCCCAAACTCAAAAAAGCCTATGAAAAACATACCAGGGGCATCTCATGGGGCCCCCTACTGACCCCGGGCCCTCGGGCAATGCCCGAGTCTCCAAATGGTCAGTCCGCCCCTGGGCGTATCATACCTATAAACCCTTAAAAATGCTATTCGAAAAGAATTTATTATAAATCCTCTAAGTGCTTTATAGTGCTGTATGCAGTAACAAATGTTATCCAGTCCAACTGAATTGTACTCAAATCAACAGATATAAACTCACTGGACACTTTATTAGGTACACCTTGCTAGTACCGGGTTGGACCCCACTTTGCCTTCAGAACTGCCTTTATTCTTCATGGCATAGATTCAACAAGGTGTTGGAAACATTGCTCAAGAGATTACTCCATATTGACATGAGTTACTGCTGCCTTTTCTATCATCTCAAACCAGTCTGCCCATTCTCCTTTGCCCTCTGACATCAACAAGGCATTTTTGTCCACACAACTGCTGCTCACTGGATATTTTTTCGGACCATTCTCTGTAAACCCTGGAGATGGTTGTGTGTGAAAATCCCAATAGATTAGCAGTTTTTGAAATACTCAGACCAGCCTGTCTGACACCAACAACCATGCCATGTTAAAAGTCTCTTAAATCCCCTTTCTTCCCATTCTGATGCTCAGTTTGAACTTCAGCATATCGTCCTCTCCACGTCTAGATGCCTTAATGCATTGAGTAGTTGCCATGTGATTGGTTGGTTAGCAATTCGTGTTACCCAACAGGTGTACCTAATAAAGTGGCCAGTGAGTGTATATTAAATATTCCACGGTCAACTGTTAGTGGTATTATAACAAAGTGGAAGCAACTGGGGATAACAGCAACTCAACCACAAAGTGGTAGGCCAAGTAAAATGACAGAGCGGGGTCAGCGCATGCTGATGCGCACAATGTGCAGAAGTTGCCAACTGTCTGCAGAGTCAATAGCTAAAGACCTCCAAACTTCATGTGGCCTTCAGATTAGCACAACAATAGAGCATAGAGAGCTTCATGGAATGTGTTTCCATGGCTGAACAGCTGCATTCAAGCCTTACATCACAAGTGCAATGCAAAGCGTCAGATGCAGTGGTGTAAAGCACGCTGCCACTGGACTCTAGAGCAGTGGAGACGTGTTCTCTGGAGTGATGAATTACGCTTCTCTGTCTGGCAAGCCAATGGACGTGTCTGGGATTGGCGGCTGCCAGGAGAACGGTACTTGTGTGACTGCATTGTGCCAAGTGTAACGTTTGGTGGAGGGAGGATTATGGTGTGGGGTTGGGCTTGGCCAACCACTTGACAGTTCTTAAATATGTAAGGGGCGGGGCCACCTGGTGACATCACCCATGTGACCTCGCCTCTTACATATTTAAGAACAGTCAAGCCAGCAGAGCAGTCAGATGGCTGGGATCCAGCGTCGGGAGCAGAGCCTTTTTTTTTTCTCTTTTTCTGGCGGCGGCGGGCAGCGTGATTGACGTTGGATCTACTTCGGGGGACATTCTTTTATTTTTCTTCTTTTAATAAAGGACTTGTCAAAGACTGTCTCCTGTCTTTTTTCACACTACACTTTTTTTTGTGAATGAGTAGCGGTACCATGTACCCCATACTCATTAAAATGGGGGGGTCCGGGATCTGGGGGCTGCATGCTCGAATAAGTGTCCGGTATGGATTTTGGGGGGGACCCCACACCATTTTTTTTTTATTTTGAAGTAGGAGTTCCCCTCAAAATCCAAACCAGATCTGAAGGGCTTGGTATGGATGGAGGGGGGGACCCCACACCATTTTTTTTTTTCCACATTCAGCTGTCAGTGGAGAATCCCACTGACAGCTGATGACTAAAAAAATGGAGGAAAAAAGGGATGTAAACTCACACATGACTGAACTGATGAAAAAAACAGAATGCCCGTATGAAAGGACCATTAAAGTATAACTAAAAGCAAAACTTTTTTTTTTGTTTTGGACAGAGTGGAGATGGATTAGAAATATGTCAGGTTTTTATTGTCGTTTGTGCCCTCATTAGGGAGATTCACCCTCTCTATTTGTCCTGTTTACCATTATCATCAAAAGTGAAAGTAACCCCAAATCTTGGGTTGCCCCCAGAAAAGTAATGAGGGGGGGGGGATTTCCAATGGGGACTCTAGTTCTGGTGACCTGGGGTCCCGAAGGAATTCCCTTAAGTTGCAGACATTTTCTCACATCCTGTTTTGGAGATGGGAAGTGAAGGTAAATCTCCCAAATGGGATGCACATGGCAAAAAATAAACTCACAGGGATTATAACCTTCCTTTACTCTATCCAAAATGAAAAATACAGTTCCTCATGTTGTGGTGAAAAAAAAATGTTTCCTATAGTTCTACTTGAAATATTAAAGATTTGTATCAATAACAGTTCATAATTGAAACTCCTGAAAATCGTTAATCACAAGTGGATCCCCTACTGGCTCTTAGCAGGTACTTCAGAGCACCATCATCTAACCACGTGAGCATACAGTCCCTGCTTGCCAGAGGTTAAGCCACATATTACAGGCCAAGAATTGCTTGTGGGAAAAAAAAAACACACAGACAACCAGCATACTATCCAAGGTTAATCATCCTTCTGAGGACTCCACACCGCCATGCCCATAAAGTACTGGTCCCACAGTTTGGCACAGCGGCCGCATTCGCAATAAGGTACATAGAAAATACAAAGAGCTCTATAGTGCATTAACCGATAAACTCACATTTATTGAAAGAATATGCATTGATCAGCATATGACTTACACAGAGTGGCATGCGAGTCTCACGCTGATTAGTGCTGACTATATGTTATACCTTGTAAGTGCATAATCTGGTTCATATTTATGCGATTCCAAACACCTGCAACCACCTGCAGTCAAAACGCGCTGCTGTATGAAAACAGGTGGACTGCGAAAGCATCCGTGCGATTTCCATCCGTTGTGTTTTTAGAATGGTGCAGGAATCGTGCCCCATTTTTCCTGCGGGAAAGCGAACGTTGGTGCATGGGGGAGGGCTGTGGTGTCTGTTCAAATGTGGGCCACAATCCCCATAGATGTGAACCAGCCCCCTTAATAAGTGTGAGTTTATCTGACAATGCACTGTAGCAGGGGTGGGCAATTGTGGCTCTCCAGCTGTTGGTGAACTACAAGTCCCATCATGCCTCCTCCTCCCTACATGCCCGCCTCCAGGACTTCTCCAGGGTGTCACCCATCCTCTGGAACTCCCTGCCCCACCCCATCAGATTATCACCTACTCTCCTCTCCTTTAGGCGCACCCTGAAAACACATCTAACTTCAGGGAAGCCTACCCCACCCCCTGCAGGTAACTTGCACCGACCTCCTCCACTCTTCCTACCACTCCTTCCCCCACCAGCTTTACTTCCTTCCTGTGCCCACCATAGCCCCTCCCTCCTAGATTGTAAGCTCGAAAGAGCAGGGCCCTCGATCCCCTCATGTTTTGCATTGTATTGTTATTGTTCTGTCACATGTTCTGTCCCCCTTTGAAAATGTATACAGCGCTGAGCAAACTATTGGCGCTTTATAAATACTGTATAATAATAACCTTAATGACTCTCAATAATAATGACTCCCTGTTGGTGAAAAGGCATGACGCCTTTGGGAGTCATGCTTGTAACTGTCAGTTTTGCAATGCCTCATGGGACTTGTAGTTCTATAACAGCTGGAGGGCCACAGTTGCCCACCCCTGCACTATAGGGTGCTTTGTACTGTTTTTTTGTATGCACCTTATTGCGAGTGTGGCTGCTGTACTAAACTGCAGGACCAGTACTTCATAGGTATGACAGTGTAGAATCTTCAGGAGGATTAACCCTGTTCAGCCTATCTGGATAGTATGCTGGTTGGCTGTGTGATTTATTCAAGCAATTATTGGCTTGTAATAAGTTGCCTTAACCTCTGGTAAGCAGGCTGTGTGCTCAGATCGTTGGTCATGGTACACCGAAGTAGCTGTTAAGAGCCAGTTGGGGATCTGCTTGTGATGAACTTTTATTGATGCAAATCTTTAAGATTTAAGGCACTTCACTGCACATAGCACTTTTCATTCCTTTAGGCACGTTTGCACGTGTATCTTATCATATGGCACACGTATATTAAATTTTGTATGAAATTTGTCAATGTTTTTGTTTTTTTTTTTTTATTGATTTTGCCTGTATAGCAATGCACTTTGATGCAGATTTTGATATTTAAAAAAAGGATAGGGCACCGAATATGTTTTAGGTATTTTCTAGTGTTTATGTATTCAAACACGTTTTAGAGTGCTGCTTTCTTAAGGTGGGAATACACAATTAGAAAATCGAGCGATTGGTCATGTGACGACCGAGAGGCGTTCGTTCATTGGTCAAAATCGTTGCCCACATTAACCAATCTAAAAAAAATCGTTCGTCGGGCAATATGTACTGTTGATGTCTTCTGTACAAGTGGAAGTGATGCAGTGTGCGTGTGACCTTGTAGCCACGCCCTTCCGACCAGAAACGATATACACAATTACCAGCAATTAGTATAATATAGTTTATTACATGACCTATATACATAAATAGTGATACATAAAATATAACATGCAGAATTCTGGTTTCATTATCTCATTAGGCCAATCTACTTTTAACATTTGGATTTTTCGTTCGTGTTTACGAAGATTCCTTGGACATAAACATCGGGTCATCTTCTGTTTCCGCTCATGCGTGATAGCACTTGATAGATTTTCGTACGACCATCATACCACCACCATAGAAAATTGGTCGTTCGTATGCGAAACGACAAAATTTTTCACTGTTGTTCAACCAGTTTTTTTTTTTTCGTTCACAATATTGTTATTGGTTAAAACACCCTACTCATCAATGAAGAGAAAATCGTTCGATCAGTGGTTCCGCACACGATTTTTCGGACGATTTTCTTATTGTGTGTACAGGGCATTAGTTAGTTATCCCCATTTATCTTAATTATTTACATTATTTTTTTGATCTCCACGAAGCGCAGAGGTTTTTTTTTTTTTTTTTACATAATTCTTCTATAATTGTCGCAAGTCCATTTGAATGGGACTTACTAGCTATATCGAAATATGTTTAAATGTGCATAGTTAGCAGTTTCCATGAAACCCATTGAAAAGTAAAAATGTATCTAATGTAATCGTTTACAAGCAATATTTATCCACATTTTCCTGATTATGGCTGAGTGGTCTAGTATTTCATTCACGTCTCAATATACTGAATAGTGTGATAGAAAAATGTATTCCCGTGATAAAGGATCTGCAGCTGCTATCGTAAATATTCTGATGTTCCATCAAACATTAAATACAACCAGGCAGAAATACTAAGAAACATTAAGCTACAAATTATTACTGCTTATTTTACTGAATGAATATTTCAAAACATTCAGTTCATAGATTTCAGTTGTCAGTGATAATCAAATGCATTTGGTAAAATATAGTGTGCTAAACGTTAACAGCAAGTTCTATGATTTCTTACCTGTTAGCAATTAATACAATTTCCATTTTTCAGAATTAACACCATAAATACATGCAAAGCTGCAAACAAAAACAATACCTTCTGATCTCCAGATCATTTTATATTTATTCCTGTTAATCTAATCTGTAAAACTATCAATACACACAGACAGCACTTTCTAAGTAAAGCCTCTCCAGTTCTATATCCAGGAATAGCCATGTGTATGGCCAAGCTGTATACAGGCTTAGGGGGAGGGAGACCCCTCTATATATGGTCAGCACTTGGACCCCCAGCTCAGACCCTCACAAGGCTGGCCAGTCCTGGCTTGTCTCCAAATATGGAGTTGAGTGAGTGTGGGGTTTCCCTGACCACTACTACAGGGGCCACCAATATAAATACATGGCTCGATTCAGCACTTGCCAGCTCACAGCTACACCTACGCCCTCACTGCTGCAGCACGGTGAGTCCTGCACAGCATCATCTGACCCCTTCCCTATCAGTGACTGGTCTTTTTACCCTTTCCCTGCTAGCCTTGTAGAATATTTTACTTTACCTTAGCATTATCTGAACCATTTAGCATTATAAGTAGAGGATTCCTTTAACAAATTACTTTTATTCAACTCCCTCCTTGTTAACCATTTGTTTTACAATACAATCTAATAACTAGCAGAAAATTATCTTTTAGAACCCTGAAACCAGATTCTTCCCTTGCCATTAATTTACAAAGTCCAAAATTCTTGCATTTTCTAAAAAGGTATTAATTGACCTTTAAGAGTTTTTGCTCTGTACCTTACAGGTTGTCTTCCTGGCAGTCTTGCTTGGCATAAATAATCCACACAGGAAATCCCACAGGTCATAACTTAATCATGTTCTTGCCAGTCCTGCCAAGCCTCAGTTTAATCCCCACTTACAAAAATCACTTAACAGCTCCATTAATTTAACTGCACACTGTCATTCAACTAATTCCCTGCATTGATGCACAGCATTTATGAAAGAATAGTTTCCAATTAACTATATTCTTGGGTCAAATTCCTTTAAAATGATTTTTATAGATATTTCCATTCATTCCAGCAGTGGAATTAACTGATAATCATAAAACCATTCCCAAGTAAGGCTGGCCATACATTATACAAATTTTCCTTTAGATTTACCAAAATCATATAATATGAAGTCAAACCTAAACACTTTCAATTTTTTATGCAATCAGGCAGGCCCTTGCACTACATAGCAGAGGGTAAATCTAAAGAAAACTAATGTATGGCCAATGTAAGCCACAGATTGCATCACATACATCCTTTCAGTCCCCTTAGTGGTTTATCCTTAACCCAACCTAAATAATCGTTGGCACATTTATCAAAAATAACCTGTGAATACATAACTATTTTCCTAGCTGCAAGATCTTCAGGGTTTTGAAGGAATAATTCTCCTTGCCTTTTTAAATCCCAATATGATCACTAAATGTTATTCTCTAAGTAGCTTATAAGCCACCCTTTTATAGCCCTACGAAAGGTTATTTAACTGCTTGCTCAGAAATCCTTGCCATGCCTTATGGAGTCATTCTGCTGCCAAAACGCTAACTTGACAAGTTCTTCTGAGACAGCACGGAACAGCTGGGCTCTAAAACAGATGGGACAGCAATACAGACAGGTGGAATAGTCAGACTTGAAAGCAGAGGAAATGATATATCACAGACAACCTCTAAACTGTACTCTAAGTTACAGTATGCAAGTGTACTTTTTTTTTTTTTTTTAACTTATTTAATCCTTCACCAACAGCCCCTCTCTTGAATCCACCATGTGTGACGACGACGAGACCACCGCTTTGGTATGCGACAACGGCTCAGGGCTGGTGAAAGCTGGCTTTGCCGGAGATGACGCTCCCCGTGCTGTCTTCCCCTCCATTGTAGGACGTCCTCGTCACCAGGTAAGCACACCTAAGATTTGGTCAGTTTACACACCTATAAAGACTTACAGGATCACTTAACATGGTTATATACACAAAATTAAGATTTGGTATTTAAAATCTTATACACTGCCCTCTTGTATTTATGTTTTTTTTTAAAGAAAAAAACACATTGGATTCCATAGTTTTTTTTTGTTGTCTTTTAATATTGACTAAATAGGAAAAAAAAAAAATGGGTGTTTTTTGAACACGTGTAGTTCAATATAAAGCAAATCCTAGCAATGTGGCTTTTTGTATTTAAAACCTTGTTTGCATCAGAACCCATTCCCCGTCCTCTGCAGACAGTTGCTTTTGTTTTGCAGCTTTCCATTAAATTATGGCTCTATGAAAACATTCCTGCAGTTAATAACTGGTAGTCACCAGGAGCGCAGAATGTCAGCACTACAAATTGCCAACAGCACCATCTAGCGGAGCTGTACACAATAAGCTGTTAATCACAAGGATGCATAGGTTAGAAATGATTAAAGGTTAATAATGTATTAATGTTTTTAGATCTTGCACCATTTCTTTAATAAAATTAAAACAGAACAATTATATAGATTTTAGAGGTCACGTATAAAATCCCTGACCTCTGAGCCAACATGTTACAGATGTCTAATTTAAGATTCAAAAAGAAACACTTTAAAAAAAAAATAAAAAAAAAATCAAGCTAAATTATACCTTTGGCTCCAATCAAGAAGCCTTAACACAAGAATAATGATCTTTAAATTAGCTATGCGACTGTAAATTTGTAATCTCTCTGCTGAAGTCACTTTTTTAAAAAGTATCCTTATCAAGGTGCGTTAGCTTTCTGAATGGAGCCATGTAAGGAATAAGTTGTATAAGGTGAACTGGAATATTTGCTAAAAACTGGAGTGTGTAAAATCTGGTGCAACTCTGCATAGAAATCAATCAGCTTCCAGGTTGTATTGTCAAAGCTTGAATTGAACAGGCTGAAGTTAGAAGGGGATTGGCTACCATGCACAGCTGTACCAGATTCTGAGTGCTCCAGTTTTAGTAAATCTAATGTTTACAGTACTGCTTATTCAAACTTTTTGAGCAGAGTATTGCAGTTGCAAACAAAACCATATTCATCGCTTTAAAGATGAACTAAAAGGGGAGAATACACACCTTTGCAACAGTCCCTCGCCAGTATCTTCTCCTGTGTGCCGGTCTTCGTCCGTTTTCATTGGCTGATGCAGGGTGATGTCCAGGGGCGGACTGACCATTTGGAAACTCGGGCACTGCCCGAGGGCCCAGGGTCAGTAGGGGGCCCCATGAGGTGCCCCTGGTACCTTTTTCATAGGCTTGAGTTTGGGCAAGGACACAGGGCCTTATGATCTCCTATTGCCCGGGGGCCCCATGAGTTGTCAGTCCACCCCTGGTGACATCACACCTGCACATGCGCAGGAGGCCATCATTCCAACACACAGAGACCAGCCAGGTGCTGTAAGCTGAGATGATAGCGATCAGGTAGGTAGGGGCATTTTGTTGCAGAATAATCATTGTATGTCTCTTCTGCAGCAATAAAAGCATTCCTGCTTGTTGTTTGTTTGTTACAACAGAACTTCCATTCCACTTTAACTTTTAAAGGAAATCTGATGTGAGAGAAATATGTAGGCTATCAGTACTAATGCTTCTCTTGAAAAGTTTGCCATCTTGCTGTCATACCGATGCCTTGGCTTTAAAAAGAGAGATAAAAATTTGCTCAAACAACATTAACTATTTTTAATCCATTTGCTACTAGCCTTAGTAAATAGATAGGAAAGCAGATCATATGTACTTGTTTTAACTTTTTTTTTTCATTTCTACATTACTTCAGTAGCTTCCTAGTTTCTGGGCTAGGCCAAAATTATATGATTATATCCCAGGAGTTTCCTTGGCATTTTTTTTCCTTTCACCTGGAGGGGCTTTCTCAGCCAAGCACACTCTTCCATCTGCATGCCTGAGATAAGGGAAGAAGGATTCCAGGGAAGTAAATACCACATGAATCATCAGCCCTTACTCAATATGCCAAGGCTAGAAATGCTGTGGGGGGGGGGGGGTGTTTATCAAAGAGATTTCTCTACTAAATAGACATGAATGGATGGGTTCAGTTTTTGGTGCTCAGATACAGTTATGTATCGTTTTAATACTAGTGTTAGACATGGACCCAAAGTAAGTAGAGTAGGAATTTTGACTTTTGTTGTGCTTAGAAGTACTGAAGCCAGGCAACTAGAATTTACAGAAAGAGGTCAGTAATGATAGCCCACATATCTCCTTTTTTTAGTTTATTTACAATTAGTATTTTGTCAGTATATCACCTTGCAGCGCCTTCTGTATGCATCTTGTGTATTCATCAAATTTCTTTCCCTTTTCAGGGTGTCATGGTTGGTATGGGTCAGAAGGACTCCTATGTTGGGGATGAAGCCCAGAGCAAGAGAGGTATCCTGACTCTGAAGTACCCAATTGAACATGGTATCATCACCAACTGGGATGACATGGAGAAGATCTGGCACCACACCTTCTACAATGAGCTCCGTGTTGCCCCAGAGGAGCACCCCACCCTGCTCACTGAGGCTCCCCTGAACCCCAAGGCCAACCGTGAGAAGATGACACAGATCATGTTTGAGACCTTCAACGTCCCTGCAATGTATGTTGCCATCCAGGCTGTACTGTCCCTGTATGCCTCTGGCCGTACCACCGGTAAGACTTCTTTACTAAAATCCAATCTAGATCTGTATGCATGGGTAATAATCACACATCCAAACAATGACACGTGTAGACAAATCATGGAACAGATTATCTTGCGGAAGATAGACACCCCCCCCCCCCCCCCATGGCAGTTATTTACCATTTAACAAAATATAACAGTTTATGCAGTATTTGAGATAGGACACTGGGTTGGAGTGAAGGTTTCATATAAAGTGGCAAATAACAGAAGGCAGTTAAAAAAAATTGTTGTATGTAGGACTGAATTATATCTCAGGAGCCTGGAAGCCATTGTACCAAACAAAAAAAAACAAAACAAAAAAACTATTTTTAATATTATGAATAAAGGCCTGACAGATACAATAATGGGATTTGAACGGTACCAATTCCATATACCAAATTATAAAAGGTAAACATTTTATTAGGCACATGAAAATACTTCAAACCTTAAAAGACTTAAAAGGCCAAAGTCTTTTATTGTGCCTAATAGAATGTTTAAGTTATAATTTGTCTGGTATATAAAATTGGTACCTCATTATAAATCTCATTATTGTATCTATCAGCCCTCAATTCTGAAAAATTGGTGCTGTCCAGGGCCTCTATAATTGGGTCCTAAATACCCATTTTTAAATATGGTCTACTAATGTTCATGAAGTACAATAGTACCTGGTCTAAAAACTCTGTCTACCTTTAGTTACAAATTATAGCACTTTCTGTACACCTAACTTTCTATATTAGGTCTCATAAAACACTACTACATGTTTGCAGCTCTAACAATGTTCTCTTGGCTTCATAGGTATTGTCCTGGACTCTGGAGATGGTGTCACCCACAACGTACCCATCTATGAAGGTTATGCTCTGCCCCATGCTATCCAGCGTCTGGATCTGGCTGGCCGTGACCTCACTGACTACCTCATGAAGATCCTGACTGAGAGAGGCTACTCTTTTGTCACCACTGGTGAGGACTGTTTCCATGAAGTGAACTTGGCAATATTGGACATCTAGGTTTATAATACTAAACGTTATTTACAATTAAAAGCCCTAACAGAAAAGCTGTAGAAAGCAATAGAACTTATGCAAAGCATCGTTTTAGTCTCGGAGTCACATCACAGGTAGGCTTCTGTTTACTCTTACTAATAATGGCAATTTTCTCTCATCATAGCTGAGCGTGAGATTGTGCGCGACATCAAGGAAAAGCTTGCCTATGTAGCTTTGGACTTTGAGAATGAGATGGCAACTGCTGCCTCTTCATCCTCCCTTGAGAAGAGCTATGAGCTCCCAGACGGACAGGTCATCACCATTGGTAATGAAAGGTTCCGTTGCCCAGAGACCCTCTTCCAGCCATCCTTCATTGGTAAATATTGCGTGTTTTTTTGCTACCTATACATCACTTCAGCTTTAACATCTGTACTGTGAAAATAACACGCCTTGCTTGGTTTACCCTAGGTATGGAATCTGCAGGTATCCATGAGACAACCTACAACTCCATCATGAAGTGCGATATTGACATCCGTAAGGACCTTTATGCCAACAATGTGCTCTCTGGTGGTACCCACCATGTACCCTGGTATTGCTGACCGTATGCAGAAGGAAATCACAGCCTTGGCTCCCAGCACCATGAAAATCAAGGCAAGTTTAATAAAATTTAAAATGCAACGCCTGACCCTTGTACTGTATCTAGTGAAAGCTACGCAGTCACAATCCAAATTCATTCTTGAAAGTCTATCCTCCCCGCAAGCTAGATTGTAGCATGTCTGATATGTCTAACAAATCCTAAAGGTAATATAGAATTCTTTAATAATTCCCCAGGACAGCATCTACTGCTACTAGTTTAAAGCAGGATTTATTTCTCACTTCCTGGGGCCACGTGGCAGAGTTAGACCAATGTAGAAAGCTAGTTCTTTATAAAAAAAGGGATATATTTGTACTTAGACGATTTATAACTTTGGTATTCTGTATTCTACAGATTATTGCTCCACCTGAACGTAAATACTCTGTATGGATTGGAGGCTCCATTCTGGCTTCTCTGTCCACCTTCCAACAGATGTGGATCAGCAAGCAAGAGTACGATGAGGCTGGTCCTTCCATTGTGCACAGAAAGTGCTTCTAAATCACCTATTCACTTTTTTTTTCTCCCCAGTCCTTTATGTGGTACATGGATACATATAAAAATAAATGATTCCTACAAATAAACACATTTTGAATAAAGCTACTGTATATGTGTCCATTAATACTATGCAAACTCTAACCCACATTATTCATAGGTACAAATATGGATTTGTATGCATACATTAAAGGCGGCTGTACAACTGCACAGTACTAAAGAACATTATATTACAAGGTACAATGGTATTTATTTCCAATTTACTATTTCTTCCATACATATAGGTATTTGGGGCACTTAATTGTATATCAAATAGCTCTTTACAGCCAATTACCTGTGATTTATAACTTACACCTCAATGAGTATATCCTCACACTAGCTTGTTGGGTTCAAAGAGAATTTATTTATTAATAAAAGGACTTGCAAAGGTGCAAGCCAAATGGACGCGCACAAAAGTGCAGTATTTCAACAACACTAAAATTTAAAAAGGAAAAAAAAAAAAAAAAAAATAAAAAAAGACAATTTTTTTGTCCATTCAAAACCACAAAAATCCACATGTCCATCGAAAGGTATGTTCAATGGCAGCAGCCAGCACACTGTCCTGAATGTGAATGAGAGGTGTCTCCATACTTTGTCCTGCGGCTCAGAATCTCATAAGTGCAATCATCACTGCAGCACCCCGATACACTGGGAGAGGTCTCATCTATCTCAAACCTGATGGGAAAAGTAAGGAAGGCATAAAAATTGGGAATAAGGAAAACAAACATGAGAAGCAGTAATCAGACTTACTGTAAAGCATCTCTGAAGAACTGGTAAGCCCCATGATTGTGTTTAAATACTGTAAGGACCACTTTCTTCATCTGTGTGCTGTGGGGACAGGTAGGAGCAGTGAGGGAAGCTCACAAGAGTACTCATAAAGATAGCTACAAAACAATGGAAGTCTACCTTCCAAGTCATAGGGAAGGACCAAGAACTGTGCAACAGTAGAGTAACAGTATGAAAATTCAGTATTTTTATAATGGCAAAAGAATAATCAGAGGTAGACCTCTGCAGTCAAAAAATTATCTTTAATATGACTACATTAAGTGCTAGCCATACACATTACTTTTCCAGAAAAAATCAACCAACCATTTTCAACCAGCTTCTGACTGCACTGTTATAATCAGAAAGGTGCCTGCAACAAGTTTTACAAGTACTGTCATTTAGCTAATAAACAGTTTGTGACAGGTTACCTTGATCTGTTTGATAATGGTATCATTGTTCTAGCTAGGAGAAAGGTTGTTGACATTGCTAGAAACTTTCTCATGCCAGCCGCAGCCTTTGACAGCTGTACTCTGATATCTGTCAAAGCACATGACTGGTCCTTGCAGTAGTAGATTTGTCAATCAAGTAAGCTATAGCATAAATTCATTTTAATGAAAAGTTTCAGATTTGTCCCTATAGGCGAGTATACTTTTCTTTAAAGGCTCTATCTAGTTTAATTCCACCAACATCTTCACATCATTGTACATATAAACTCCATTAATAGGCATATTAACTGGATATGGAACATAGAAACTGTAGAATTTATTGGAAAAGACAGTAGATAACACTGCCTTTGCAGAATCATAAAAAAGGTATGCCAAGTTTAGGAGAACCTTTCCTTTAAAGCTAAAGTTAGTAGTACACAAGGGGGGGGAGAGGATTAAAAACGCACGCACGCACACACACACGTCAAAAGAAACAGATTACTACCTTCATAGATTCAACTGTACACAGAAATTGGGGTCTAAATGACTGAACCATGTATCATGCAGCAAGGGTCACCAACGTTCAGACTGTCTATTGACTGAATATGTATGAATAGATAGAACAGTATAAAAAAAGCAGGAGGCACAACAGGTCCATTAAATACACTCACCTCACCTATTCGCCATCAACTGTAAGATTTGGACCAGAAATTTCCCTACTCCTTTCCTGCGGACACGAATTTCTAACTGTACTTCATAACTAGTAAAAAAAAAAAAAAACATACAGTGGGGAACTAATTGAATCAGCAAAAGCACAGGTACACAAAAACAAAAAAATGATACTGCAATAAATACCAACATGTAATTTACAGTGCATCGTTGCACATGCAGACCATGTTTTCTAGCACATGTAAGAGTGAAAGGGGATGGGTCAAACGATAAAGACTGGTAGTGATGCCTAAGCAGCTGTAGCAATATTTGTTAAGAATATTTAAACCAGGTAAATAAAAGGTTGTTTATTTTGCTCCACCAGATCGCTGGTGAAATGCAGGAATCCTGCAGATCTGTCTGTGTATCTGTGTGCTCGTACCTTGTACAAACAGACAGATACATTCTGACAGATAGACACAATGACCTACCACAGCGTCGTGGTAGTTCATGGAAAAATTCAAGCGGACAGCCGCAACGGCTGTCAGGACTTGTATTTTTCCATTCACAGAACTCTGCACAGCCACATATTTTAAACATTATAAACAGCTAGTGGGGGAGAAGATCCACCGCTAGCTGTCACATGGGAGGTTTGGAGGTGGTGGGGGGCTGGTTTCATAATATGTTACACCCTGAATATGGTGTTATGAAAAGTGAACTTATCCTTTAACCGAACACAGTTAACAAAATACATCATTTTGGCAAGAGTGCTAGCAAGACAGCAGATGAACACATGGGGAGAGTGTTTTTCAGCCCAGCATTGCTTTTATATACTTGGGCACCCAAACATTTAACTGACAGAACTCCAATATTCTGGGACTCCTCGTTCCTGAACCTAAATCATGCAAACCTGCCATCAATCCCATCTGTTTTACACCAAATACATAGGGCAAGTATACAGTATATCTTAATAGGCAGTAATGCATTCCAGTACACAAAATAATCTCTGGTTAGGAAGCTACAGATCAAGAGTATTGAATTAAAATTCCCAGAGGTCCAGTTAATATAATTTTCTTCCAGTAGGGGTTTGAAACTTAGGTTTGTGCTAAAACTCAGATCCTTCACATCACAGCTTCATATCTCTACCCTTAAAACACAGTTCCCCCTTTACATCAGTGTCCTCATTCCTCCTTAAAATCATAGCGGCTTCCTTTTTCATCATTGCACTCCCTTTGATATAGCAGTCCCCCCCTTTACCATACAGCCCTCCCGTTTACATCACAGCCCCTCTTTAAATCACAGCGCCCTCTTTTACTTCACAGTCTCCGTCTTTTATCGCAATGCCTCCTTTACATCACAGTCTTTTCTTTACTTCACAGTGCCCCTTAACATCACAGTCCTTCCATTTACATCACAATGCTGCCCTAAAGAATATCTTTTATGATTATATCATCTAGTGCAGATGAAAGATTCACTTCAAGGGCCTAAATCAACAAATGGATATATTGCACTGTAAAAGTGCAAGTAACTGAAAAGTAAACTTTATTAATTTCACAATGGAAATTCCGGATTAAAAAAATGACATTTACTATCAATGTATTAAAATTTTCTACATCACAATCAAGCTATTCAGAAAAAATCTGGGGGAGCTGGAAACCTCTGTTTCACAGAAAAAAAGAGCATATCCATTTAAACTGAAAAGCACCTAAACCAACTGAAAACACTGCTTGCTGTGCTAGGATTTTGCTCTGTTAAGAAATCTGCAGGGAAACTAGGACTTCTGGGAGTCAATCTCCTGGGACTCCCTTCAGCTATCAGTGGTAACTCCTTCTGTCAGTCATTCACATCATTACAGGATACAGTAGTGACATAAAAGTCAGAAGGAACCAGGGAAACTTGTGGGAGACCCAGGAGATTGCTACTCTTTGAAATGTCCATTTCCCAGCAGACATACAGTATTATAAAGATTTCTACTTAAAGTGTATAGCGTAAGGGAGAGTTAGAGAACCTGTCTTTTTTTTTGCCACCTGTGTCCTATAAGGGGAGATTTTCCTTCAATTCCTGTCTTATAACCAACACAGGAAGTATTGTCCTCATTGGAAGATTTTACCTCTATTTACTCTATTACGGTTCAACCCAAAATTTTGGAAATTTCTTTACTTTCACTTTCTGTTCCATTGATTTTGCTTTCAAAAGAGTATTACAATAGCACATGAAAAAGAAAGTGCAGTTTTAACAGAACATATGGCAAATAAATCATGTAAAGCCTAAACATGAACTACATAGGATGTGACAATGGTGTATGAACAAATTCCAGTACATACAGTCATCCATCATTCATTTCAACTATGCTTTGTGTAACCAATCAGTGAGGGAACATCTGAGCTCAAAACCCCCGCCAGCCACACGGTGAGTCAATATAAAATGCCTTATGGCCCTTTGACCAGTATCAAAAAAAGAAAGAAAAGCATAAAGTTGCAAAGAACAAAAAAAAAAAAAAAAAAAAAGGGAAGGAAAAGAAAAAAAAGAAAAGGAGGTGCACTCTATCCAGCCAATAGGATAACATTCATTCCAGAAAGAAGTCGACAGATATGTGATCCAAGGATCCCACGTTTTGTCAAAGAATGTCAATCATTTAGCAGTGCTGAGAGCGGTTTATTGACCATAATCCATGATAGCTTGGCTTTCAGTAATTCAACAGCAGGGGCAGACTGACCATTAGGGAACTCGTGCATGCCCGAGGGCCCGGGGTCAGGAGGGGGCCCTATGAGATGCCCCTGGTACCTTTCATAGGCTTTTTTGGGTGTGGTTTGAGTGTGGGCAAGGGCCCCATGATCCCCATGAGTTGTCAGTCCGCCTCTGTTCAACAGGGATTTTTGGGGATCTCCAAGGTCTAGCAATAGATACCCTGGCAGACACAAAAATAAAAGCCATCTCCTAGTCTGTCTGGTCAGTTCTTCTGTTTACTTTCCCTTTCAATGGTAAACAGGACAAATAGAAGGGGTGAATCTCCCCATCAGGGCACAGACAGCAATAAACACTGACAGGTGTTCTAATCCCTCTCCACTGCCTTTAGTTACATTTTAAGGCTCCATGCACACTGGGCATTTTTACAGCTGTGGTTTTTGGCTTTTGAGGTTTTTTTCTACAGCTAGTAAACCCCCCAGCATGTTATCCTATGTGTCCATGTACACAGACTGTAATCAACACTTTTTGGCAGCAATGTTTTTTGGCTGGAAAAAAGACCCAGGACTAGTGGGTTTCTAGAGGAGGTTTTAAGCTGTAAAAATGCCCTAATGCTGAAAAACACGGCAAACGGCGTTTTTGGCTTTTTTTGACCAAAAAAAAAAAAAAAAAAAAAAATGAAAAAAAAAAAAAGCTAAAAAATGAAAAAAAAAAAAAAAAACGTGGAAAAACCCCGCTAAACGCTAATGCGAACACGCTAAAAACTTACATTTTTAATGTGACTTTACACAGCTAACGTTACCAGCGTTATCAACCCCCCCCGTGTGCATGAAGACTAACAGAGCAGTTCAGTATTTGCTTTCCTATTTTGAAGGCACATTTGCTTCTGAAACATTTGTGTAATATCAGGGAAATGAAACATAAAAGATAACAAAATTGTAACAATAGAGATTACTGTCCCCTTCCAAAGGTATAAAGTCTACTACAGACAACAGATCAGCAGGCAACATTTTCCAAGGGGCACAAACAGCGACAGCTCAGGCAGCTCTTCCATCTCCAGTGTGCAAAAAAAGTGTATTTGCTTTGGAAGAATAAATCACTTTTAATGTTGGGTGTCCTACAGGTGTGTATATTGCTGTGTTATATAAAACTATTAGAATAGTTTCTCACATTTTAGAATGAGGTGCCCTTTTAAAATTATGAACAGTCTCAAGGCACCCCATTTTATTATGGGGTGCCTCAAGACTGTCCATAATTTTAAAGGGTGCCTCGGGACGGTCCATAAATTTTAAGGGGGCCTTGACTGAAAAAAGGTTGAGAAACACTGCCCTAAACAACATAAACGTGTAACGGAGTTCAGTGGTGTTTTATTGCGAAAACGCATTTCACAGTGTTAATTCTATTGGTTTCTTTCAGAGTTTGCAATTATGTTCAAGTAAAGTAAAAAAAAAACTACTGCTGTTTAGCCTTATTCATTGGAAGTTACTATTTACAAGTATAGGGAAAAAAGGATTGTGATAAAGATATGTCCTTTGTACAATACATGTAATAAACTGGGATTTTTTTGTTTATTGATATGCATGCGGATATATTACTGGAAAATGTTACGGAGGGGATGTGGGCCATCTGTGTACCAATATTTTGTAATGAGACAAAATATATGAATATATATAATGGCAAAAAAACAAACACACACACACACCACACACACATATTTACACACACACACACACACAAACATAAAGCCAGCCATAAGTAATGAATGGGCAAAGAGAAGGATAGGAAAGAGATTATTAGAAGGCAAAAATCAATGGTGTTGTGAAAACCAGTGCAACCAACACTGTATGCACTGTATCACTTGCTTTAAAACAGATAAAAGAAATGTTCAGTGGCCGGGTATTGGCCATTTTACATACTCACCTACGATGTAAAAATATCCAGCATGACATTACTTTAAAAAAAGCATAGAACATCACTGCAAATCTTACCAATAAAGAACCTCTATCTCCACACTCCACATCAAATCTGAAGTGCACAAATGCGACAGAGGGCTCCAAGCTCATCTCTTGCAATAAGGATACCAAGGCGCGCTCATCTGTCAGTTCCTCTCGCTTTTCTCTCTCATTATCCATCCCCATTCACTTTGCTCATAGCTGTAATCAGAGAAAAAACAATTCTCTGTAGATACTGCAAACTGTCGTGTCGTCTTTCGAACCCAGTAAGCATCCATTTCATTAAGATGATAAAGGTCTATCACTTACGTGTGCACAAACTGTCTGTCTATATAAAACAATTGCTAGTGCAAGGTAGCGCATTTCATTATTGTACACCACAGCAGCACAACTTCTGTAAATTGGGAAGAAGGATTCCCTTACTATTATACAATCAGACAATGGTACAGTTTCAATATGTAAGGATAATTGGCAGTGTAAGAGTATGCTGGCATTCCTGAATGTAGAAGGCTTAAAGAATATGTAAACTCAACATTTCATATTCCTTATGAAAAAAAAAAAAAAAAAAGGTATCCTGTTCTCTTTGTATGAAATCCCTGGTGTTCCTGCCAGTCCCCTCTGCTTTCCCGTAAAAAAAAAAAAAACCTGACCACAGTAGGCACGAGAGCACAGTGTGGTCATTTCACTAGATGTTGCTGGGGATTGTGCTTTCCTCCAATAATCAGACTTCTGCTCACCCCCCCCCCCCCACCCACCCACATAGCCAATCAATGGGCCATGCTGTCTCTCCTCCATCTCTCCAAGAGAACAGAGGGTATGTAAATCACTTATAAAAAAAAAAGGAGGGGGGGGGTAATCACAAATAATTTGCCTTTAATTTTGAATTTTAAACTGAATGGGTTGTTTTTACAAGCTAAGGAATTACATATACTTTAATGTGTTTCTCTAATGGATTTCTGTGCTAAGTGTCCTCCTAGGACATTTTATTAGCAAACTGCGACTTGAAAAATATGGCTAGTGGTTTTTCTCCTAAAAATATATTAACTACAAATATACATACATCACACTATTGACCATAACGGCCCTATTTTTCATGTGTGGCCAACCATAAATTATACTATATGTAGCTTCTGTAAAATGAGTACAATACATTTCTAAACCAATTTTTTACCCGTTTAATGATTACAACTTGTGTTTTAGATTCTCTAACCTAGCTAAGTTTATAATATTTACAGGCTGGTTTCCACAATTTCTCCATGCCGGATGTGAAAATTGAAATGAGGAAAACTGCACACCCCTGTAATGCCGAACTGCAGTGTGCCAAAACTTGACCAAGACAACACGTCAGCACTAACTAGGTGGTGAACTTTAAAAAAAGATGCATTTAGGGAATGGTCATAATAAAAAAAAGTCATCACTGTACAACTTTCTGTGATTGAAAACTGACAGATATGGATGACAATTTGTATATTAACCAGGTGCAAACTTTGGACTTCTACACAAGCCCCTAAAAAATATATCATCGTACACAAGGGCGTATGTAGAACCTCCAGTCCTTCTGCCTTGCTGCTGGGACCCCCCATACCAGTACTCAGCAATTCAGCTCTGAATAATCAAAGCTGCATTTCTGAATACACAGAAAAGTCATTGCAACTGAAGCTGTAAAAAAAAAAAAAAAAAAAAAAAAAAGTCTGACAATGTTTATCACAACATGCCTATACAGAAAGATACAAAGAAACACCTTGGTTTCATTTTGTATCTGTTTATTCATCTACAGATCACAGAAGGGATGAACTTCAATCTGCTGATGAAGTCAGTTAAAGCAACCTGAAAAGTAAAGTTTTTTTGTTTTTTTTTTTTTAAATTTAATGTTCCTCGTACTTCATTTGTAAATAACTTTTTTTTTGTGCCAGAATCATAATTTTTAGTATCATTTTAAACAGGACAAATTACAGAATAAAAAGCACACTTTAAGTAACATGATTTATTTTTAAACGAACACTGCTCAAAAAAATAAAAAACAAGTTTTAAGTTTAAGTGTCTGAGGATTGCAAACAAAAAATAAAATTGTTGCAAGACAATCCTGAAAAGAAAGCCTTGTTTGTACAAAAAAAAAAAAAAACAAAACAAGCACTGTAAGTTATCACCAGGTAAACATGTCCATATCAGAAATGCAAAAATTGCTTTGGTCCACAAAGGGGTGAACAGGTGTGAGAGGCAAAGTGGTTAATGATTTCACCAAATACCTCGGTTATATTTTCCTATAGTTTCCTAAATACCGATCAATTGTTTAAATATCTTCCCTTCGCCTGTCAGACATGTTCTCTTAAACTGGTTCTAAAGCCATAAGTTTTTTTACCTTAACACATTCTATGAATTAAAAAGGTACAAAACCTTCTGCTGCAGAGGACAGTCCCCTGGCCCCCACTAATACTTGAGCCCCATCTCAATCCAGCACTGTGCAAGAGAGCACTGGCTCTCCCGGCTTTCTCAAAACTCACTGGGTATATTGATAGCAGTGAGATCCATTGGCTCCTGCTACTGTCAATCAAATCCTTTGATGAGGGAGTAGGGGTGGAGACAAGCCCCACACTCTGTGTCTATAGCCACAGACAGCAGTGCTTGGAAGCAGGCCCACATTAATGCCCCCCGAAGAAAGCAACTTTCTATTGGGGCACTCGCCAAAGAGTGGGGACCCCCCCAGGAAAAAAAAAAAAAAAAAAAAAAAAAAAAAAAAAAAAAAAAAAAAGAAGAGGATCAGGACTGCTCTGTATAAAATCACTGCATAGAGCAGGTAAGAATGACATGTTTATTACTTAAATTAAAAAAAAAAATGGAAACTTTACAATCACTTTAAGCTGGCCAAACACTTATTGAAAATGTGTCCGGTTCAGCAAGGAGCAGCTGAATTTTCGATCATTATGTGGCAGTCCCCTCTTGACAGAAGTTGATCAGACAGGTCTTTCCTGTCCGTTAAGGAAAGGGGAGGGGACATCAAGGTGGGGGTGTGGGGCCTTTCTACCACTGACCATCAATGTAAAGGTGTTTAGAGATACTTCTCTCACTGACCACCAAGGTTCAACTTGCTAATACGAATAATCTGTTTATTTTTAGCTGAAAAATGGAATGAAATGGGGTTTCCTATGATGGAAACAGTGTTCAAAGGGTTCCTAGGTAAAAAGGCTGCTCTAGACAGTTCGTGAGTTTACGTTTTACAGAATTTCAGAATAAGAATTCGAAGCTCATAATCTATGATTGCATCAGGAATGGCACTTCTAATGGTAACATGTCTGTATGACTGACAGAAGCTACACCTGGAAAATCTGTACCTTCTGAAATAACAGTATGAGGATTAAACTTACAGCAGCTGCATATTTGTCTTTGTGAGTTCAAATGCCCAGTCAAGAGTCTTCTGGTCCAAATCTGTTACTCTGCTGCACTCAATTGTCAGATTCAACCTGATGGGGTGAAGAATAAGCATATGTAATAAAGAAAACATACAGTGTATTCAATAAGGAGCTCCATTCTCAAGTGCAGTAAGTCATAGCAAGCAAGTAGAAACTGATGTACAAATTAAAAATAAATAAATATATTTACCTTTCCGGCAGCTTATGTTACAGCTGCTGGGAAAAATGGAAACTGTACCTTTCCAAGTATTCAACCCCTCAGATGGGTTCAATACCTACTACCCCCACCAGTAGTGGTTCCAAACTATATATATATATATTTTGACATAAGAGCCTACAGGAGGAACCACAACCTGTAGCGGGAGAGCAGGTATTCTACACACCCAGAAGTGTGAAATGCATGCTGCAGCTGTGGAGCAGCGAAGTGGCAGCTTTTCTACAATCTGTGGAAAAGGTAGGTTTATGCATCTTAAGGTGAGTGAATCCTGATTGATTACTACAGGTTTGCTTAAAGTATATGTAAAACCCTCACCTTGTAGAGAGGAGGGAGAGAGAGGGGGGGGGAGGAGAGAGGGGGGGGGGGAGAGGGAGGGGGGGAGGGGGGGAGAGAGAGAGGGGGGAGGAGAGAGAGAGAGGGGGGGGGGAAGAGGAGAGGGGGGGAGAAGAGAGAGAGGGGGGGGAGAGAGAGAGAGGGGGGGGGGAGAGAGAGAGAGGGGGGGGGGAGAGAGAGAGAGGGGGGGGAGAGGAGAGAGAGAGGGGGGGGGAAGAGGAAGAGAGAGAGGGGGGGAGAGGAGAGAGAGAGAGGGGGGGGGAGGAGAGAGAGAGGGGGGGGAGAGAGAGAGAGAGGGGGGGGAGAGGAGAGAGAGAGGGGGGGGGAGAGGAGAGAGAGAGAGGGGGGGGAGAGGAAGAGAGAGAGGGGGGGGGGGGGAGAGAGAGAGAGGGGGGGGGAGAGGAGAGAGAGGGGGGGGGGAGAGGAGAGAGGGAGGGGGGGGGGAGAGAGAGAGGGGGGGGGGGGAGAGAAGAGAGGGGGGGGGGGGGGAGGAAGAGAGGGGGGGGGAGGAAGAGAGGGGGGGGAGAGAGAGGGGGGGAGAGGGAGAGAGAGGGGGGGGGGGAAGAGAGGGGGGGGGGGGGGGGAGGAGAGAGGGAGGGGGGGGGGAGAGAGAGAGGGGGGGGGGGAGGAGAGGAAGAGAGGGGGGGGGGGGGGAGAGAAGAGAGGGGGGGGGGGAGGAGAGAGGGGGGGGGGGGAGAGGGGGGGAGGAGGAGAGGGGAGGGGGAGGAGAGGTGGGGGAGGAGGGAGAGAGAGAGAGGGGGGGAGGAAGAGAGGGGGGGAGAGAGAGGGGGGGGGGAGGAAGAGAGGGGGGGGGGGGGGAGAGAGGGGGGGGGGGGGGAGAGAGGAGGGGGGGGGGGGAGAGAGAGGGGGGGGGAGAGGAGAGAGGGGGGGGGAGGAGAGAGGGGGGGGGGGGAGGAGAGAGGGGGGGGGGAGAGAGAGGGGGGGGGAAGAGAGGGGGGGGAGGAAGAGAGGGGGGGGGGGAGGAAGAGAGGGGGGGGAGAGAGAGAGGGGGGGGGGGGGGGGGGGAAAGAAACAGAATGTCACTTGTCTTCAAAATGAAAGGCTGAGGAGGTATTGGATGGGGTTGTGTCAGGACAAGCTTGATCATTGGTAGAGAGCAGGCTGAGTTCTCAGCACAGCTAGAGAACTGACCACACTGTGCTCTCATGGCTACTGTGGTCAGTTGTTTACTTGAAATCAGAGGGACTGACAGGAACACCAGAAAGCACCACACAAGAAATAAAGCACAAAGAAAGCAATACAAAGAACAGGATACTTTTTTATACAAGTACATGGTACAGCAGGGACAGGTCAGTAATATAAAATATTGAGTTTACAAACTCAAAAAAAAAAAAAAAAAAAAAAAAAAGGAAGAAGGAGCACATAGGAATCAGAACTTCAATTGAACAGGACCGTCCCCTAAACTATGCCATTTGTAAAATGTTTTAATCTTACCCATTTCTGTCAAATTTCTTAAAGACAGGGAATGCACCAAGTGGGTCACCAAGCTACGGAGAGAGAATGACACAGAAATGAATGAAATAGACAAGTAACTTAAAAAAGTAACATCTCATATACAGAGATGGCAGTTACCTGGTTGGCAGCTTGCACCTTAGCAAGCACAGCAGCCATGGCTGCACGCTCCTCTTGGCGCTTTTGCTTCTTCTCTTTGGCTCTTACAGATTTTCGCTAAGACAGAAATAAAAAATAGTGTAAATAGCGGGAGAGTTTCCACTCATTGTGCATAGGGCAGCTCATTCACTTGAGCTGGCTGCCCTACATGCTACAAATGTCCCAAAGAAGCTCCACAACCCTTTTTGGAGCGCAGCAGAGCAGGACATGTTTTGCTACCTAGTAGTGCGTTTGCCACATGACAAAAAGCGCAGAAAACGGCATGCCTGCTATCCGTGCTTGGGGTGCCATTAACAATTAATGACACTGCAAGTATAACGCGCGTTTGCAGTATGTTTCCGTAACACGTGGCAAAACACATTCTCATTGCACCTTGATGCACATTTCAGAAATACCAAGTGTGAATGGAGCCCAAGTGCTCATTCACACCAGATTTGCTGGGCAGCCTTGCCCCAAGGCAGTCTCCAAACACATTGTTCACCCTTGTTCCCTATTATATCTGTTTATACCACCGCAATGCAGTGATGTTGTGGGGAAAAAACAGCTTAATCAAAAAATAAATTGTGTAGTGCTCAAGACATAAATAAATATTAATATATGAATAACACATATAAAATATACAAAACTGTAATAATATCACAAATAATGATCTAATCCCAATAAATCTAAGTGATCTCTCAATAGTGCCTTGATCCCTATTGGGATCCAAAAAGTGACCAACCAAAGTGAAAAAATAGTGATCATTTATTTATTTCAGGTACTTATATAGCACCGTCAATTTACGCAGTGCTTTACATATATATTATACATTCACATCAGTCCCTAACCCTCCAGGGGCGTACAATCTAAGGTCCCCAACTTATATTCATACATACTAGGGACAATTTTTTTTTTTGACAGGATCCAATTAACATTAAATTAACAGCATGTTTTTGGAGTGTGGGAGGAAACCGGAGTACCCGGAGGAAACCCACGCAGGAACAGGAAGAACATGCAAACTCCAGGCAGGTGGTGACGTGGCTGGGATTCGAACCAACGACCCTAGTACTGCCAGGCGGAAGTGCTAACCATTTAGCCATAAAATATATCCAAATGTGATATTTATACAATAAATGTGCTCACAACTACCCCGATCCTTGATTAGCATCAGTGACTGATCATAAAAATCAGTAAAAAAAAAACCAAACAAGTGTTCCCAGCACTGGGGGATATATAAAAAAAAAAAAAAAAAAAAAAAAAAAAAACAGTGACTGATCAACCACAATCAGTGATTAACAAACTGGGGGATAAATTATACAAAGGGAGCAGTGCTTCAAAAAAATCACATAACATATACTAACATCAAACTCTCATCCCAAAAGATAATATACCCCAAAATAATGTAAAACACACAATAGAACTAATATAGATGTATCAATCACAACACATGAAAAAAATCCAAAAAAATCTAACAAGATTAGTGCATATAACACACAGGTGTGCCACAAATCATAAACGTGCAGATGGTGCTGTGGATGTGCACTACAGCCGCTGGTGATAAATCCAAAAATATCTGAATTGCCTCCTCACCGGGACCCAATGGGCCAAATAGCTTTTGGATCACCACTGGATCCTCCAAGTGCGATATCCCTTTTAATGGACTCCTTCAGGTAGCAGCATAACACCACATCAAGGTTCCCCTTTAGGTCTGACTAATACAGCCAACTCCCACAGGACTCATAATTAAGACATGGAAGAGAGAGCCTCCATAATGTAAAAACTAAGGAAGCCAAAATCCTTTTGGTAGAATGTGTTCACACAGTGCCAACAGCTTGCAGTACTCTTTCTGCACAGCCTTGTGTGGCACAATCACCACATCACACTGCAGCCAATAAAACTTAAAAAAGGTCTAGTTCAACTTTTCCAAAAAAAGTACAGTAAAGGGGCCCCAGTAGATATTAAAAGCTTGTGTGGTTTTGTCATATGCGCCTAAATACTCATGTTTAGAGCTCATTCACACAGATTGACATCACTGACCCCTGGGCAGATTCCACATTATTTTCTACAGAATTTCTTTATTCCCCTTCCCATACCATTGTATAAGGTGGAGACTGTGCTAAATAATAGTGCCCTCCATAGAACAATAGTGCCCTGTCTTTCACACTCAAGTGTGGTACCCAAATTATGAATGGACACTCTATACCAGAGCTCCTACATCCACCACCAACACAGCCTCAGATCTCAGGTGTTCACTATACTTTGCTGCCCTCCTTAGACAGGGGTGGCCCATAGGCATTACATACAAAAAAAAACAAACAAACAGAGGGCGCTCCAGCTTAGTACATTAACCTCCCTGGTGGTATTCCCAAGTGTAGCTCGGGGTAAAGTTTCAATACCAAAAGCGGTAACCCCGAACTACACTCGGGAATACCTGTAGCATTGCTCCGGGATCTCTTCTGAACTTACCTTGTCCTGCGCTCCCGCGATGTCCCTCCTGCAGCATCCCCAGCCATCTCCTCCGGCCGATGCCGGCATCCATCTTCCAGGTTCCGTTCCCTGCGAGCTTCGGGACGTACGGGGAACAGAACTGGCGGGAAATTCAAAAACTTTAAGAGTCATTCACTAAATACACTAAAATCTGATAGTAAAACATTACTGTATCAAACCATTTCACATACATTTTGTCCTGAGTGCTTTGTCCTGTGCCCTGCCTGCATTTTTACTGTTCTTTCTGCCTGGAAAATGAGAAATGTCCATGGCGTCCAAAAAGCGTCCCTTTAGGTCAAAATCGATTTTAGACCAGCTAGAGAACAGCGATAGTAAATTAGAACCACTTGCAGAATTGAGTGATAATGATTTGTGGGGAAATTCGTCATCAGCACTGAAAACGATTTTGCGACTTTGCTCAGTGATGTGCGAACTTGGCGCTATATTTCAAATTTCAGTGTTTTTTGGTTTGATTATATTATTGAATTAAATTTATATTATAATTTATGATTTTGTGTTTAAAATTTTATCATACCCGGGATGTTTACTAGACTCTTGTTCGGACAGATTTCAGTGAGTTATTCCTAAGAGTTACAGGCCTACAATAAAAAAACAAAATTTCCATGCAAAAAAAATGTACCGCTTTGAGCACAGAAATACTGACATAATCAGACCGCTAGGGAGGTTAAAGAGCCTATTACATTAAAGTGTAATTGCAGTGAAAACCTAACTATGCTTAAATCGACTCCCACCCCCATTCTAAGCCTATTTATCTACCTTATAAAAGGGTAAGAGGTCTATACTTACTTATTCTGAAGTCACTGTGGTCAGGTCATATGATCTCTCAGCAGCAGCTTCAGTGAAAAAGGAGAGAGCTACGACAACAGCTGCAGAGTCTAAATGATGACGCCACCCATAGACTTAGTATGGGGCATCCACTGTCGGCTGTCCCTCCTCTACACTGAAGCCAGCGCTGGCAGCTGATCATGTGACCAGACCAAATTGACTTCAGAATAGGTAAGTATAGACTTTTGTCCTTTTACAAGGTAGATCGTATAGGTTTAGAATGGGGGTGGAAAAAGATTTAGGCTTAATTATTTTTTGAATGGAATTACCCTTTAACTTATGACACCATAACATAGATGATTGCATTCACAAAACAGACCTAAGAAGGCAGCTCATTACAAATATCCAGGTAAAGAATGGCCAGAACCACTGTACATGCCTCCAGAAGGACTGGGAAGATGCACAATGGGCCTGCAGACACAGACACGTTTCAAGGGTGCCCCTCTGAAGGACACCCTTGAAATGCATCAGCAGGCCCTTGCAACATCAACCAAGTCCACCTGAAGGCATGTAAAGTGGTTCTGACCATTCTTTACCTGGATATTTGTGATGAGCCTTCTTCTTAGGTCTGTTTGTGAGTACAATCCCCTAACTTTAACCACTTGACTACTGGGCACGTTTACCCGCTTCCTGCCCAAGCCAATTTTCAGTGCTCCCACACTTTGAACGACAAATTGCGCGGTCATGCAACACTCTACCCATATGAAATTTTTATCATTTTTTTTCCCACACATATAGAGCTTTCTTTTGGTGATATTTAAAAAAAAAAAGTTTTTCTTAGTTTCGATTATAAAATATTGCAACCAGGTAACATTTCTCCTTCATTGTGCGTTGATGAGGCTGCACTGATAGGCAGCACTGATGGGCATTGATGAAGAGGCACTGACTGTCACAGATTGTCAGCACTGATTGGCACTTTTGGGGCAGCACTGATCATCAGTGTAGATGTCTTTTTTTCTCAGTTTCCGGTTATCGGCGGTACTTTCCTCATGCTGTGACAAAGTGAGGAAAGTACTGTTGATAACCTGCAAGTCTGATCACATGGTGATCAGCAGTGATTGGACACAGCTGATCACCTGGCAAAAGGCAGCTGTGATTGGCCCTTTACCATGTCATGTGATCAGCTATGTCCAAAGGACACAGCGATCACAGAAAGCGCCCGGTGCGCAGGTCTGGGAGGATGTCATATGACACCCTCACAAAACTGGGGGACCGCGCTGTAGCCATCATTCGGCTATAGCACGGTAAGGAAGTGGTTAAACTTATCAGTAAATAGTGTCATAGGTTAAAGTGGTTGTAAACCCTTACATATACCCAGTGAAGTGACGTTCTTAGGCGATACAGAGATGAAAGAAATCCTCCCACATAAGTTGTACGTTTGTCTGCAGTATTTTCTTCTCTTCAGCTGTTCAAAGTGCAGAATTTATACAGCTTGTCAGATGTCAGAAGGGGACAAAGAACTGAAGTTACACTTTGCAGAGCTCAGTGAGAAGAGTTTTGAAAGCTGATTGGAAAGGACACACCTCCCTCCAAATAACTCACAGGAACAGAGCTGAAGCTGTCAAACTGCTCTATGTCCCTCCCCTGTCACCATTTCTCTCGGTGTCAGGAAATATTTTCAGAAGTGACTATGTCCAGAGGAGGTAGCAGACAGAAATGACACTTTGTGCTCTTGAGACAAACACACACTACAGAGGGATATGCTTTGTTCATATTTTATGTCTGAGGTTTACAACCACTTTAATA